CCCGGGAAGAAGGAGGTGGCGGGCAGAGGAACCCAAGAAGAGCGATGTGTAGGTATTGGGAGCTCGGCGCTTTTCGGTTTTCTTCTCTCGGTGAGGGGAGGGGGTGCTCCGGCCTTTTTCTCTCTTCTGCTTTTTCCTCCCCTCCTCATTCTCCACTCGTAGGCATCTCCTCTATTTTTCCTTTCGAAACACTATCTGGGAAGCACCAAGCGTGCCTTTCCGAGGTGGCTTTACTGTCATTTTTCCAATGGGGGGCGTGGTGGGAAGGGATGGGGGGCTCTAAAGGCTGAGCCATCTGCCTGTCCCTGGGCTTGGGAGGGTGTGGGGACACGGGGGACTTGGCGGGTGTGTTCCGAGAGCAGCTAGAGCATTGCAGAGAATTCATCACCTCTGGAACTTGTGAGGTGAGCCCCACTTGCTGTAGGGGCGTGAGGCTGGCTTTAGCTAGTAGCTAGCGGTGGGGTGCGAGGGCGTGGGGGAGCTGTGCCCCCACCCTCCAGTTGGGGTGAGTGTCGACTGTAGGGTGAGTTGTGTAGCAAGTATGGCTGAGAGTTTGCGTGTGCGTGCGAGCGCGTGTGGTCCAGCCTCGAGGTGTGGCAGGGGCACAGTTGGGTGTCGAGGGAAATCGCCCCTCACCCCACACTTCCCAGCTGCCCCTCTCATCCCATTCACAGAACAGGGCTTTCAGGACCCTCCTGGTCTCCTCCTCCCGTCGCCATGGTTGCGGGAGGAGGTGGGGGGATTGCAGGAGGAGACAGTTGGAGCCAGCCCCTTGCCCCTGCTGCTCCAGCTAACCCCCCACCTGCCCTTTCTCTCCTTTCCACAGGCTGGGCCCCATCCCTGCTGCTCTGGCGGGCAGGGGCCGGAAGATGGTGGCCAATGAGGAGGGGGAGTGGAGAGAACTTGAGCCAGGGCCTCCCCTCCCCCATTTCCTCCTCTGTTTCTACACCCGCTTCTGGAAGGAGCTGGGGGGGGGGGATGGCTCCTAGGCCCAAGGTGGGGGAGGGGTCCTGCTGGCTGTTGAATTGCTGGTCTCCCCTCTCAGGAATGAGCTGGACACGTGAGCTCCGAGGGACTCAGTGTCCCCCTGCCTCTCCCTTCACTCCTTAAGGAACGATCTGGGGACTCCTTGATGAAGAATCTTCTTTGGCTACTGTGAAGCTGACTGGGTAGTCTCGTCTCTTTGTCCCTTTGCCCCATGTTGGTCTGGTCCAGTTCCCAGCTGGCTTGCCCAACTCCAGGAGCAGAGAGGCCTGGAAACTGACCCAAGCGGGGCCTTGGTTTCCGTCCATTAGAACTGTGCAAACTGGGGCAGGGCCCCGTGTTTGCAGATTACAAGAACAAACTCTGCCTGGGAAGGCGGGAAAGAACCTCTCCTGCTTCCTGAGGGGGTGGGAGGAGGCTGGAGGGGGAAGCCCAGAGGAAGAGCTCCCGAATGGAATTCAGTCCTCCATTTTTCCTGCTTGTTGCAGTGAAAAGTGTGTGTGTGGGGGTGTCGTCTCCCTTGAGGCTGCTCCATGGTCTGATTGGATCTCCACAGGGAGGAGTCTCCTCTCAGCCCCTGTCTCTTTGGTCAAAACTGTAGCTGGCTTGTGACTCTAGAGCTCTCTGCAAGGCTCTTAAGTCTTTGAGTTTCCAAGGGCACCTGGCTTTGAGTTTTCATCAGTCTCCATAGTCCTGGGATTGAGGATGATGGTCTAGGGGTATGAAAATGAGTGTGAAGACTCCAATACTAAACTTAGGGGAGGACAGGAAACTTGGCTTGTAATCCCACTATCAATGAAAGCTTATCCTTAACTCAAGAGCCAAATCTCTGACCATTGTGCTTAACACCCCATTCATAGATTGCTTTGAAGACCTCAGAAAGGACACTGGGAGCTTCTCTTCTGCCTAAGCGCCTGTAACTATATCCCATGACTCTGGTCCTGGAGGTCCACCACCTGAGGCATCACCTTGAGACCTCCAAGGCTTCTTTATTAAAAATGAAGATGTTAGCTTTAGCCTGGAGACAAGTAGAAGGGTCTGTGCTTCTGGGTGGCAAGGTTCTCTCTGAAAGGTTGTAGGCAGACATGCACCCTCGTGCTATTATCGCTTGGACTATTTAAAGCAACAAAACAGTTTTTTCCTTTGAGGAGTAAGTTTCAAATGCTGGGAATCCCTCAGTTGCCTCGTATGGACCTGCACCAACACCCCTCAAGGAAAAGGGGTCTTTGCTGGTAAGGAAATGAGGAGGAGAGGAAGGCTGTGAGCTGAGTGGGCCAGGGCCTGGGAGAAAGGGTGAGGAGGCAGGGCCGGCATGCCTTTGCTGCTGGCCGGAGCTCTTTTCACATTGTGCTACTGTCTTCACCTATAACGAGCAGTGCAATGTTAAAAGGGCATCGGCCTTGTAGTACTACCCAGTGCCGGCATCCTCCTCAGCATCACTGTTTTTCCTCCCATCTGGGCACCAGTCAGCTACCTTGGTGAAAATGTGGATCCATGGAGCCATTTACATGTACAGTTTGTAGGCTAGACATTGGCGTACATCGCCATGAACCTGTTACTAATTGGCAAGCAACATCCCCATTTCTTAGATGAAAAGAACGGGGGGCTAGAAAAGTGTAAGCTGTTTGGCTGAGGCTATTGAGATCATAAGTTAGAACTCTGTCCTGAGCCCGATAGGAAGGTACCCATCTTTTGTCAGGAGAGATTTGAACTGAGGGGGTGAAAGGTTTTGATGCCACCTGCTGGTTATGGGAGGATGTCCTGTCTTCAGTGTTTAAGGATAAGCCTAGGGGCAGCTCCTTAAATGAAGAAGGTCTGAGTTTTCAGACGAAGCTTGGTGTGGACAGTTGGTGAAGCGTGGGAGAAATTTTAAGAGGCCCGCAGAAGACTTGGGAATAAGGAGGTACACAGGAAAGGAAAGGACAGTTGCCTAGACAAAGAGGCTTCAGTATCCCTAGTGTCCTCTGCCTCTTGTTGTATGGGGGAAGGAGGTCCCTTCATGAAGTTTTCAGTGTGACCTCCCCATCACATCCCTTGATAGGGATGGCTCTTGAGGGCAGACCTGCCTGGGCACCCAAGATTTGGACAGCACTACTTATGGTCTTAAAAGAATCTCTTAAGCCAGGCCCAGAGTCTTCCTAGGCTCCACAGCCACACCATTTACTTTTCTGTCTTTCACAGGACTCCTTGAGCAGTTTTGAGCTTGCTCTGGTGCGGGAAGTGAGACCAGGAGATGGAACTGAGTCTCTACTAGAGTTTAAGGAAAGAAGATAATTGGTATCAATGAAACGGAACAATGGGTTAGACACTCTTTCTTTGGCCCCAACACCCAGATGTTTCTGACTTGTGTTTGCCCTTCTGGGCCTGCCAATTCTTTGTCCTGCCCACAGTCTCCATTCTGTTGTTAACAGTATTCGAGATAGTATAGATAACTCCACATCCATTACTTTTAAAGTTATCTGAGCTTCCCTGGACATATCTTTAATCCCAGCACTTGGGAGACAGGTAAAACCAAGTGAGCTGGAGACTAGCACATCTATCTGTCTATCTATATAGATATAGATATATAGTTCCAGGCAAACTAGAGCTACATAGAACATTTGCCTGTGGGCCCCTCCCCCACACAAAAGCTTCATGCCTGGCACAAAACAGCTGTTTGACAATGTCAGCCTACTCTTAAGTTTTGGAATGGGGGCTGTGGCTCAGTAGATAAGAAAGCATGCAGGAAGCCCTGGACCACACAACATAAAGCCAGATATGGTAAAGCATGCTTGTAATCCCAGCATTTGGAAGGTGGAGGCAGGAGGATTGACTCTTAGAGTCACATAGCAAGTTAAAGGCCAGCCTAGACTATATAAGAAAGTTTAGGAGTAACAGTAGTTTGTCCATGCTTCTATGCTGTCCTTGATCAACCCATGAGTCATGACCCCCTTGGCAAACCTCTATCCCCCAAAAATACATTACTATATGATTCCTAACAGTAGCAAAATTACAGTTATGAAGTAACAACAAAAATAATTTTATGGTTGGGGGGGGTCGCACAACATGCGGAACTGCATTAAAGGATTGCAGCATTAGGAAGGCCGAGAACCACTGTTATAAGGTTTACAGCTCTTCTTTCTCCCATTTCAATCTCTTACGTCTCGTTCTCTTGCACTCCTAGCCACAGAAAAACACAATTTCCTCAAATTAGCCAAGTCTGCGCCACACCACACAGTTCTGTCTGAATCTCTCTTGCCCTTTGCCTGCCCATCTTCCAAGAGAAGCCGTCCCTGACTCTTCAAATCTAGGTGAAGTTCCTCCTCTAGCTTCCTTCTGGCCACTGGACTGAGCTCCAAGAGGTCAGGCCATGGCTGGCTTGCTCGCCATGTATCCCTGGAGTTCAATACAATGCCTGGCAAGTAATAAGTATCTATAAATATTTGCAATGTCCATGAGTTGCTCTGGAAATAAGGATGTGACTTAATAGATTTTTACCATACATACAGTCTCCCCTGTAGGGGCCGGGCTGCTCCAAATTGAAATTTCATGTCAGTGCACCCCAACCATGTTCCTTACATCACACTTTTGTGTTGATACTAGAGCTTTGGAGCTATATCCCACTACGGATCAACTGCCAGCAGCATCTCACCCCATAAATTTTCATTTTAGCCTCAAGGGTATCCATGGGTTGATTAAAACATTCCAGGACCAGGCCAAAAACCAAACAAACAAGGAGACACAAGAAACTACCAAACTGTGGAATAAGTTTGCACTCGCTGCTTATCCCGAATCTAGATAAAAAGGGAGACGTCCAGGGGGCTGAGAACATTAGATGCTCCCCATGGACAAGCTCATCAAAACCCATGCCTCATGATTCACCTGGATGCTTACAGCTTGGGAAACAGGTGGAGAACCCTGCCACAAGGCAACTGCTACCTCCTACCGGTTAAAAAAAGGGGGCCTTGCTGGTGTGCATACTGGGGACAGTACAAGGTCCACACCTGTGGAAGGAAAACCAGGACAGCACCCCACCGTTGCTTTTCCCCTTTTTATTAAAAATAGACCCAAACACTTTATGTATCATACAAAAGTTTCATTCGCTGGTGGCAGTCACTGGAAAGACTGGTCCCGCAGCGCCGATGATCCACCACCTCCAAGGGACTTGGTCCCAGGGAGCAGTGGCTGAGCCTTGGGGAATGCCCGTAAAGACTGCTCTCTGGCAACAGCCAGCTGGGAGTGGGGGCTGTTCTTGGAACAGCTTTCCCCACCCCACCCAATGGCAAAGATTAGATACTTAAAGGTGCCTCTTTAGTGCCAAGGTAAACAGTGGAGTGAAATGGGAACCCCTGTAACTGATTTCCCAGGGTCTAGGGTTTGTGTTTTTACTTCTAATGGCCCCATTCCTAGTCCTTTTTTTTTAAAAACCAAGAATGGGGTTGGGTAAACTACCCTCAGACTCTGGGGCCCTGATACCTGAGACCAACCAAAGTCTTTGCTACTCTGTGGTCTCGCCCCCATGCCAGTGTTTGTCCAGTTCACTCAAAGTTTGGTAACTACCTGAGTTCACACCCTGCCGTCGTCACTTTCCAGGGCCACATTCATCTCCTCTCCCCAGTTTCATATTTCCCTGACTGCTACCCACTTCCTGAGCCTTCGCCACCCCTGGGGTATCGCAGGCTCCTGTTTCCAAAGGGACCTGGTACTGCTGTGGTGGGGGAAGGGAGGCGGTGGTCATTTGGAGCCGGGTTTCCCCCAGGGGTGGGCAGTCCTCATGCTGGTGTGGACTGCTCACGGGGCCAGGGGACTGGTGTGAGGAAGATGGGGCATGCGGAGGAGGGTCGCAGCCTGCCGATCCCTCAGTCCCAGCCGTTGTCTTTGACCATGTGTGACATCTCAATGATGTACTTCCCTTCTTTGTATTTCTGGCTGGTCTCAAAAGCTTGTTCCTGGTCGGGGAGTAAAGTGGGGACCATGTAGAGAAGGGTCTCCCCTCCCAGGCTCCCCTTCCCAGCTCCGAGCTCCCTCTGTGGACCATGCAAAGGCCTGGTGTGTGGACACTGTGGGTTTGGAGAGCTGCGGGGATTGTCTAGGAGGCGGCCCCTCTTCAGATACTTACGTATTTCCAGCCCAGTGTGGTCTTGCAGCTTTCGCAGAAAATGTCAGCTACCGAGTGGAGTCCTGTGAGCAGGAGGCGCTGTTCAGCTGGCCCACAACCCACGTTGACCCTGTCTCGGAAAACAAGGACCCAGCACACAGTAGGGTTGCTCTGTCAGTCCATTCCCCCAACCTACCAAGGGATTTTTGCCTGGGGGGAACTAGAAGCATCCACTTCAGCTGTCCACCCCTTGAGGGTCAATGCTTGAGCCTTCTTTCACCCCCACACAACTTAGATTGCTTTCTCTGAACGCTTTTGACAAGGGGAAGGTAAGGCCAGAGGTACCAGATCCTTTTGAAGGCTTACCCCCATTTTGCAAAGAGGAAAGCACAAGCACATACACACACACAACACACACAAAGAAAGAGGTAGACTCACACGGAGTTAAACAGGTAGGCCCGGCCATGGCTCCCTTGGAAGGACTGTGGAAACAGGACAGACAGTGACCACTGGGTATGCCTCAGCCCCATTGCTTAAATCCCAGCTGGAGTGGCGGGAGACCTCGGATCCTCCCATCGCCTTCGGAGTGAAAGCCTGGGGGGAAGTGGCAGGCCCTCACTTCACCGTTACCTTGGAAATAAGCTCATCGTGTTTGGCCAAGTGTGCTCGACAATGGACACAGCTGTACGTGCGGTGGCAGCGGGGCAGGTAGCTGCGGAAAGTCTTGGTGGGGAGACAGGCAGGGGCCGGGCCTGGGTCACAGCTGGGCATGACGGGCTGGAGGACGATGCCCTGGCGGGCTGGAGGGGCTGGTGCTGTGCAGCCCCCGCAGAGACGGTCGCAGGTAAAGCAGCGGAGCAGATTGGCTAGAGCCGTGTTTCAGGACAGTGGGAGTGTGGGGGGGCTGCCCGGCCAGGGCCCCCCCAGACGAGAACCAGATAGAAATGGAAATCACCTGGTAAGAAACGACGGTACATCAGGGGCGATGTGACCTCATGAGGAGCCGCTCCTGAGTGGCTGAAGAAGATGCGGCTCAGCTCACCTGTGCCCTCCCTTCCCCATCACCACCAGCCCTCAGCTTCCCGTTGCACTTTCTGTCCCCTAGAGTCCCATTCTGTTCTGGCAGCAGTTCCAGGCGTCTTGTGCCATGGCCAGGGAGTTGGTGCCTCTTTCTCTCCAGAGGCAGTGGCAGCCTCCAGCATTTTCCACTGAGAGCAGCAGCCTGCTGGCACAGACACAGCCTTAGGAGCAACATCACCTGCGGAGACTCACCCTGTGTCCAGTTCTGTGAGAAACTGTCCCCTAACATGAGCTCAGAACCCTTTAAAAAGCGAAGTCTCGCCGGGCGTGGTGGCGCACGCCTTTAATCCCAGCACTTGGGAGGCAGAGGCAGGCGGATCTCTGTGAGTTCGAGGCCAGCCTGGGCTACCAAGTGAGCTCCAGGAAAGGCGCAAAGCTACACAGAGAAACCCTGTCTCGAAAAAAACCAAAAAAAAAAAAAAAAAAAAAAAAAAAAGCGAAGTCTCCCTGAGTTGATTTTTTTGGTGGTGGTGGTGGTTTTGTTTTGTGTTCTGTCTCAGGGCCTCTGTTTGCAATACAGTTAGCTGGTCCACATTTTGGGAAGGAAGGAAAGAGGAACAGGCAGCGCCACTCACCCCGTTTCAGCCCTCTCCTGGGGTTGAGTCCTGAGCCCTGGAACTCCACAGAACTTGGTAGCTTCTTCAGTATCTCAGATTTTACACGTGGCTGTTCCGCAATCCTGTATCCTGGGCTACATATCCCAGGCTAGAGGAAGCACTTGCTGTCTTCCTAAACCTCTGGTGCTCAGGTCTATTTACTTACTGTTACCTTAGCTCTAAGTTAAAGATAGGCACCTAGCCCTAGGAGAAAAAAAAATTATCTTTCCTCCAGCAAGTCTGACAGCTGGAAAATGGGCAGCATCTCAGAAGCCAGACTCCTGGGCTATGTCGGGCTGTGCGGTATAGTGTGAGAGCAACATTAACAGGAAACAACGGAAGAAAGGGGACTCCTTAGTTTGAAGAGCTGAGCTTTGGGGCACAAGGCAGAAAATGTTTCTTCTCCCAGGAGCCAGGGCAAACACCAGTGACCGGGCAGCAGCAAATGAAATAATTGCAGGGTTCTGGTTAAGAATCTTGAGACACGGGTATTTGCTCACACTCCAGTCCCAGTGTGGCTGAGGGAGCTGCAGGCAGAGGATAAGAGGGAGAGGCATCTTCTGTTGACTCTGATAAGCTGTGAGGTGCCAGGAGCCTGCAGCTGTGGGTGGGGTAGCCTGGGTCTCCTTCAGAGCTGCCCTGCTAAGTGCTGTAGTGAGGCTAGACCACCAAGCAGAGGAGGCAGTGTGGCTCCACTTGCCTGGACAAACAGGCTGTCCTCCTGTCCTCTGTGGTGGCCATAAGCACCCCGACTGTTCTGCGCTCTCCAAGGGCTGCCCTGCAGTCTTTCCACAAATCCCCCTGAGTGAGACCATCTTCAGTTTCTAGTTCCCAACCAGTTGGCTGAGTTCCAGGAAGACACCTTGGGCCAAATTCAGGGTGACATTGTGTGCTGGCCCTCCTTGCTACAGTTCAGCATCACTACTTGATCGGCCTTCAACTTTGCCTTCGAGTTCTCCTCAAGGTTCCACCTTGAAACACCTACTTCACGGGACTAGCAGATGCCAGGTTTGCCCCCTCCCTCCATCTTCGGCTCCTTCCCCAGCCCTGTCCTCCGTCATTGTCACGCCTCCCTCCCTGTCCCCTGCTTCTCTGTCCAGCAGAGGAGAAGCTTCAAAGAAGGCCAAAAAAAAAAAAAAAAAAAAAGGAAAGCCCCCCTGCCTCCTGACCGCTGGGATTAAAGGCCAAAAAAAAAAAAAAAAAAAAAATCATAAAATCATGAAAAGGAGAGTGGGGTCATTTCTTCTCCCATCTCTGCCATCTCTCGTCATGGGATGAAGCAAATCAGGCAAATGACCAGGGGGCAGAAAAAAAAACCAACCAAACAAAAACAAAGGTGAGTGCTGGGAGGAAGAGGACGATTCCCTGATGCTGAGCTGGGGCTGGACCGTAGGAGGTTGGGGGGAGCAGAAGGGCTTGCAACTGGGAAGACTGGCAACTGACAGCAGCAGCAGCGATGAGGTAGAGGCTGGTGGAACCAGGTGCGGATCCAGTGCCTCTCAGGGAATCAAAAAGGGGAGGGGGACCTGGGCTCACAATGGGTAGATTCAATGGCTTGGAGGTTTTTACCTCCCCCTGGGCCAGCATTTTCAGTATGGTATGGTCCGAATAATTAGCGGAGCAGCCAGCTCCCGGGGCGGGCTTTGGGGGTCTGCACCAGCAGCAAAAACAATAAACAGTAATGTCTGATGCTGAAGCCAAAGTTGCCGGGAAATAAGTGCGAGAGGATCGTCAGAGCTTGGGGAAGGATGGAGGAGCTGAGAGAGAGAGAGAGGATAGAGGAGCGGAGGCTCCAGGGAGGGGGAAGGGAGGACAAAGGGTGGATGAATAATGCTTTTGCAAAGGGGAGAAAGCAACACGCAGCAGGAAGGAGATTTGCAAAGGGGAAAAATTGATTTGGAGAAGGGCTGCCCCCTCACCTTGAGGTCTGCTCCAGAGATCTCCGTCTATCTCTCTCAATCTCTCTGCTCACTCTTCTCTCTTCTCTTTCCGCTCCTTCAATTGGGAAGGGGATGGGGTTGAGGGAGGGTAGCTGGGGGTTTGAGGACTGGGACTGCAGGCTGGACAGCTGCTGGGGGCCAGAGGTTGCCTCTTGTTCTGTACCTCGGTCTGTGGGTAAATGTGGCTGTGTGTTGTGGAACTGCATCATAACACTGTGAGTCATCCAACCCCCCACCCCCCTCACCTCCCACGTCAGAGCAGGGCTGGGAGACACAGGAGGCGGGTTGGGAGGGAGGGAGGGAGGGGGCAGGCATCAAGGGACCGGGCTAGAGGAGTGATGTTAGGGGGTGGAGGCAGAGGGATGGCTGGCTTTGGGGTATTGATGCTGGTGGTAGGCAAAAGAAGGAGAGATAAGTTGTTAAGGATCGAGGCGATGTGATCAAGGAAACAGAACCTGAGGGAAGGGCTGGGATAGGGTGAGGATGGCTGGGCTGGAGAAAGGAAGGCTGGGGAAGTAAGAGATGGATATAGAGAGAGCCAGGAAGTACACACACACACACACACACACACACACACACACACACACACACACACTCAACAGGACACATTTTTCCACTTCAACTCTGACATCAGCTCTGATGCACGGTGAAGGAGAGGACAAACTGGACTCTCGGATGTGTACAGTACTGATGAGCACTTGGAAGCTTCACCATCTCAGTTTAATGCCCCCCCCCCCCAAGAAGCCATAGGTCAAATACGACATCTTGCACCCAGGAATCACTTATCAACTACTGCCCCCGAAATATTTGTGCTGCGAATGGAGACACATAGGACATGAGGTTCTCAATTGGGCTGTAGAGTTTCTGAGGGGAAACCTCCCTGCACCCCAAGACTGCATTATCTAGTGCAAAGTCCTGCATGTAGAAGAGGCTTACAAAAACAGTGGCTTGCTTGCATCTTCAGACAATGGCCAAGCGTCTGGCTTTGATCTCAAAGACTCCTGAGTCGAAATCTTAGCTCTGCCGATTATTCACCAGGAACCACGGGCAAGTGACTAATCCTTCTGCGCCATACAGTTCCTCTTCTGCTCAGTGAAGCTAATAATATTTACCTCCTGGAGAAGCGACTGTGTGAGATAGCATGTAAATTTCCAAAGGAGTGCCCAACTCACAATAGGCACTGAGTGAAGAGTAATGCACTTTTCTTTTGTTCTCTCTCTCTCTCTCTCTGTTAACTTTTGAAGTTAGCGTTTAAATTGAGGAGTTTTGTTATGAGTTAGTGTTATTTCACAACAGCATTCTCTACATGGGGCCATGAGGCAGGAAGAAGGACAGGCAAATTACAGGACAGCCTGTGCTTCATGGTAAGATCAGAAATAAATAAAGAGAAGCCCCAAACCAATACAAACCAAAAAGATATTCTCAATTTATAACCCCAAACCCAGAGAATATTTACTATTACATTTTTGATGTTTCAAGAGGCATAATGCCGAATGTTTGCCTTGTGGAGCGATTACATTTTCCCTTGCTTTTTTTTTTTTTTTAAATCAACTTCCAGTTAAAATTTATCTGACTTACAACACTTCCCATGGAGTACAGTACTGTGTCTGTCACTAAAACGTGGACCCAGGGCATGCCCCCACCACAAGACAAAACTCCCTGTTTATGTTTTGTTTTGTTTTTTTTGAATCAGAGGCTAACTTTCAGAATGTGAAAACTGCAAAACACAGACTTCTAAAGAGTAGTATCCCATCTCTCTTCTCACTTGTGAGGGGTGAGGATTAACGCAGGGAGAACAAGGGGTAATGAGAGCTGCTGCTAGTTGGGTAAGAAGAAAGGGAAATTCTGAATATTCAGTCAGGAGCAAGTCTGGGGTTTAGGTAAATTCTGAAAACACAACATGCGTATCATGAAGGTAGCACTAGAGGCCCCAAAATGAGACGAGCTGGCTAAGGAAAGAGAAGAAGTCTGGCGTGCTGGTTACCAGCATTCAGGCAGATGAGGTGAGAGGATTCCAGGAAGAGGCCATCTTGAACTATACAGTGAGTTTCAGGCCTGTCTGGGCTAGAGTGTAAGACCTTGTCTCAACCAGATAAGCTGGTCATGATGGTGCATGCCTGTTACCCCAACACTCTAGAGGTAGAGATGGGAGGATCAGACATTGAGGGTTCTCAAAACAAATAAACCAAACCAAAACAAAACAAAACAAAAACCCAGAAATGTGGAGCGGGGAAGGGGGAATTTTGTCTGGGCAACAGAAATAGAAGGAAACACAGGAGCTGTGGAGAGGCTTGGCAGGTAAATGCACTTGCTGTAAACGCCTGGCTGGAAACGGAGTTCAATCTCCAGACAGGATCTATGTAAAAGAGGACAGAGTCAATTTGAAAAGTTGTCCTCTGGCTTCGTCGTGCCCGGTGTGGCACACTGCCACACCGTACATCATCATCACACACAACATGATAACTCAAACGAAGGAAAGGGGAAAGACAAACGGAGGGTGAATTTCAGGATCCAGTTTTGAGGGGGAAAAAAAAGGAAAAGTTCTTAGGGTGTGGATTCAAAGCTGGAAGCAAAAATGATACTCATAAATTTAAATCAACAAAGGAACAAAACGTTCAAAGATTTAGCCTTAGAGAAGAAGGAGTAGGACACAGGACAGAATGATTTGGGGGTGAACTGGAAATGAGAAGAGAGAGTGGGCAAGCACACATGCTTTATAGGCTCTGTCCTTTTTCTGTATTTAAGAAACAAAGCGGAGAGCACTCCAAAAGGCAGGAGAGGGCTCTTCCTAAATTCAGCTTGAGCTGGTTATACAATATCCAAATAAAGATGATCTTCAGGTAACTGGGAGACATTGCCTTGAGGGAGTGTGTGGAGGCAAAGAAGACTCAGGAGAATGAGTTCCAAAGAAAGTGGATGTGCTCCTTCGGGAGGCTAGAAGTTTGCTAATGGAAGTCTAGTGCTAAAATTCTGAAGAAAGGTAAGGGATCAGCCTATGCCTGACAGCTCATTGAAAAGCTAATGTCAGGTGGTGATGGCGCATGCCTTTAATCCCAGCACTCGGGAGGCAGAGCCAGGCGGATCTCTGTGAGTTCGAGGCCAGCCTGGTCTACAGAGCGAGATCCAGAGGCACCGAAACTACAGGGAGAAACCCTGTCTCAAAAATTCAAAATAAATAAATTGAGAGAGGAAGAGAAAGAAAGAGAGAGAGGAGAGAGAGGAGAGAGAGAGAGAGAGAGAGAGAGAGAGAGAGAGAGAGAGAGAGAAGAAAAGAAAAAAGAAAAAAGAAAAGCTAATGTCTGGGGCTGGAGAGATGGCTCAGTGGTTCAATTCCCAGCACCCACATGGCAGCTCACAACTGTCTGTAATTTCAGTTCCAGGAGACCCAACATCCATGGCAAAATATACATAAAAATAAAAATAAAGAACAATAAAAAAAAAAGAAAGAAAAGCTATGTCTGCATGGTGAATGAACAAAATAACTAAAGAAATCGCCCCCAAAAAACTGAGAGAGGTAACAACTCACCTGCCTGAAAACTGAGTGCTAGATAGGGCCAGCAAGAGAAAGGTAAACCAGAAAGCTACCCTACGCTCTCAGTCTAAATTCATCAGATAGGGTAGAATAAGGAAAGTATTTACTGGCTTTAAGGCAGTCAGATCTCTGAGTTCAAGGCCAGCCTGGTCTACAGAGTAAGATCCAGGACAGCCAGGGCTACACAGCACAGTGAAACCCAGTCTTGAATAAACAAAAAACAAACAAACAAAACTAAACAAACAAACAAACAAAAAAACCAAACAGGGAGCTGGGAAGACAATGAGAAAAGTGGTTCCCAATCATTAGTAACTCCAGTTCCAAGAGATAAGACGACTTCTGACCCAGGAGGGGATCAGGCATGCACGTGATACACATACATGCAGGCAAAATAATCATACACTTAAACTATGTGATAGTGGCCTTTAATCTCAGGACTCAGGAGGCAGAGGCAGGTGTTATCTCTGAGTTCGAGGTCAGCCTGGTCTACAGAGCTAGTCCTAGGACAGCCAGAGCTGTTACAAAATGAAGCACCCCTCCCCCCAAAAAAACAAAAAAACAAAAACAAACGGTAACAACAGCAAAACAGTACGGTGGCAGGAGACATGGCTCACGGGATGGGTTACAGTTACAGGCATTTGTTGTTCTTGCAGAGGTCCTAAATTTGATTCCCAGCACCCATGGCTGCACTCAACCATCTTTTTTTTTTTTTTTTTTTTTTTTGGTTTTTCGAGACAGGGTTTCTCTGTGTAGCTTTATGTCTTTCCTAGAACTCACTCTGTAGCCCAAGCTGGTCTCAAACTCACAGAGATCCACCTGGTTCTGCCTCCCGAGTGCTGGGATTAAAGGCGTGCGCCATCACCGCCCGGCACTCTCAACCATCTTTAATTCCATTTCTAGGAGATTTGAAAAGTCTTCTGACCTCTGCTGGCACCAAGCATGAATGTGGCCCACATATATACACACAGGTACAACACTCATACACATATATCTCAAAAAGAAATGAAGAAGGAAAGAAAGAAAAGCAGTGCCTATAAAGTGGGAGTGACAGTTGCCATAACTATGGTTTGAATCTGTTTTAGCTTCTCATTGCTATAATCAAACACTTGAGAAAAAGCCATTGAAAGGGGTTTTTATTTTGACACATGGTTGAGGAGACAGAGTCCATCAGCACAGAGGAGGAGGCATGGCAGTGGAAACTGCTAGCAGCGATGGTGTTGAAACCTTGCCCACATCTGGCCAGATCAGGAAGCAGACAGAGTGGAATGCTGGTGCTTAAGTGGGTTTTTCCTTTTCCTCTTCTGACTCAGGACGGGACCCCAACCTCTGGAATGGTGCTGCCCACATTCAGGGTGTATTTTCCTTCTTCAGTTACATTTTTCTCAAATCCTTTCACACCCAAAAATGAGCCTCATTGGTGTCGACAGTGTTTACTAATCCAGTCAAAATTGACAAACGACGTTAACCATCAAAAAGCCTACCTCTAAGCCCCATAGTGGCGCAGGCCTTTAAACCCAGCACTCCAGAAGCAGAGGCAGGTGGATTGCTGTTTGTGGCCAGCCTGTTCTATGTAGTGAGTTCCAGGACAGTCAGGACAGTGAGACACTGTCTCGAAAAAACAAAACAACAAAAAAGAGTGTACCTCCACTAATAACTGAATGTTTGGGCAAATGCCTCTGATTATCTTAGTTTCCTCCCCAAATGAAACTGGAGATAATATACCTGTCTGGGCTTGAGGGTGTTGTGACATAAGACACCTGAAAGAACTTCGAAAAATGTATTGTATGAATAGATGAGATTATTATAGTCTCTGCAGCCTATAATAAAAACTTAAAGGCTAACACCAGATACTTTGCTATATTATAGGCAATGTGCTTAGTGCTTTACATACATCTCATCCAATCTTCAAAACAACTTTAAGAGGTCGAATACTGTTATTATTCCCATTTTACAGATGAGAGACATCTCAGGGAAAGGAAGCCTGTGATTTATCCAGTCAAGCAGTGAGCCAACAATACAAGATTCCAAAGGCCGTGCTCATGAAAAGTGGATTACAGACGTGGTGGAACCAGTTAGCAGTGGTGTAAATGACTGACCTTGTGTAACTGTCGGATTTACATAGAGAAACAGTCCAGGCTCTTGGCAGAGGTTGGTGGATAATGACTGATTTATAAGGCGAATGGAAGAAATCACTGGATTTTTATTCTACGTTTACTAAAGAAAAGAGCAAGCAAGCAAGCAAACAAACAAATAACCATCCTAGCTTGGTGGCCCAAATCTGTAAATTTCAGGATTCAGGAGGCCCGAGGCAGGAGAAATCACCGAGTCTGAGGTCGGCTAGCCTGGGCTACAGTTAGTCAAGAAAAGAAAAGAAGAGAGAAAAGGAAGGGAAAAGGAAAGGAAAGGAAGGAGAAGAAAAGAAAAAGAGAACAATTGACACTTGGTTCCTTCCATAAGTCAGGCACGGACAGGCGGAGGTTCTCAGCTCTGCATAGCCTCAAAGGAGGACTACTTTCTGCCCATTTCCCTCTTCCTGCTTAGGGGCTCCTGCTTAGGCTGGGTTTTGCTAACTTGCCCACTTTCGGGCTTGTGTTCTATGCGAGCAGAGGATCTAGACAGTGAGGCCTCTCCCTTTCTAGTCGCCCTTAGCTTTCCTGGACAGCAGATGGGGAGGGCCCATGTATCCACCTCCGGCGCGTGGGCGCACCGACAACGCCTCCTCTGCGCCTCCTGCGGTCTTCCCGCACAAAGTGACGGCGCTGCCCCGCCCACCTCGCGGGTCACGGCACAATCCTTGAACTACAACTCCCAGAGGGCCGAGCGGCGGCGCGCGCTCACTCTCCCCAACTACAAGTCCCAAGAGGCATTACGCGACCGCGCCTTCTCCCACCGCGCAAGAGCGGAACCGCATTTGTTTTCCGGCTGGTCTCTAAGTGATCCGTTGTGTGTGCTTGTGCTGCTGTCCTGTCCATAGGCTTCTCCTACGCCGATTTAGGGACTCTGGTTGTGCAGGTAAGGCTTAAAGATTCACTTCTGCGAGGCCTGGCCAGATTTCTGTGTCGGAGCTAACTGCGACAAATACTGGACCTAGAAGTGCGGTTCTGAATCAGAAATAGTAACTTCGTTTCTTCAGTAGATTCTAATTTACGGTGTTTTGTTTTGCTTTGCTTTTCCTACTGTGATCACTGTTAACAGCATTGTTACGTGAGGACGTGTAAGTTCCCACCATATGACAGCTGAGAAGTTGGTTCAGGTGTTGATTGGACTATAGTAGCTACTAGGAGTCCCAGAGCCGGACATGCGACTGTTTTCTTAGTCTGAACCCTGTGTCTTGTTCTTTTCACATTATTCAGAGTCTAGTTTCTTCTTGGTTAAGAGAATTGGAGAGTGGCGTCTGTTATTTCTTTTCCAATAGAAGGGAGGGAAGACAATGCCATCAAGTCTCGTGTTAGTTACAACTGTAGGGAGTTTTGTTTTTATGACCTAATCTTTCATTCACTCAATGTTTTCTTTTCTTTTCTTTCTTTCTTTCTTTTTTTTTTTTCTTTTCCTCCGAGACAGGGTTTCTCTGTAGCTTTGCGCCTTTCCTGGAACTCACTTGGTAGCCCAGGCTGGCCTTGAACTCACAGAGATCCTCATGGCTCTGCCTCCTGAGTGCTGGGATTAAAGGCGTGCTCCACCACTGCCCGGCCCACTCAATGTTTTCTATTGAGGTGCACTACTATTCTACCTGCTAGAGACAGAGTAGCAAACAAAAACACCTCTACCTGTGGTGATAATATGTGTACCCCAATAAAGCTTGCCAGAGGATCAGAGGACAGAGCAAGCCACTAGATTAGATACAGAAGCCAGACAGTGGTGGCATAGACCCTTAATCCTGTCACTCTGGAGGCAAAGATCCGTCTGGGTCTCTTGAGAGTTCAGGGCCACACTGGAAACAGAGCCAGACAGTGGTGGTACACACCTTTAATCCCAGTATCAGGAATCACACACACCTTTAATCCCAGAAAGTGACGGTAGGGCAGAGAAAGGTATATAAGGTTTGAGGAAACAGGAACTAAGGCAGTTTGGGTGAGGACCCAGAGACTTTCAGCCTGAGGAAACAGGATTGGCTGAGGAGTTGCCAAGGTGAGGGTGGCTGTGGCTTGCTCTGCTTCTCTGATCTTTCAGCTTTTACCCCAATATCTGGTACTGGGTTTCTGTTTGTTTGTTTGTTTGTTTGTTTTTAAATTATAAGACATCTGCCAGGCGGTGGTGGCCGCGCATGCCTTTAATCCCAGCACTCGGTAAGCAGAGGCAGGCGGATCTCTGTGAGTTTGAGGCCAGCCTGGTCTACAGAGTGAGATCCAGGACAGGCACCAAAACTACACAGAGAAACCCTGTCTTGGGGGGGGGCGTGGGGAGACTCGAACATCTACCTTCTAATTGTGGAGAGACCGGCTGCAAACATACCCAGTGAGTTGGAAGGCAATAAGAACTGTGTAGAAAAAGATAAAAGGAGGAAACTATTGGAAGATTTTGAACGATGGCCTGATGTAATCATTTGACCTAATGTTTGATGTGGGTTCTAGGCACAGCAGCTGTATAGAAAAGATGAGTGAGGAATCCAACGATGACAAGAAGCCAACGACTAAATTTGAACTGGAGCGAGAAACAGAGCTTCGATTTGAGGTGGAGGCGTCTCAGTCAGTGCAGCTGGAGTTGTTGGCTGGCATGGCGGAGATCTTTGGCACAGAGCTGACCAGAAACAAAAAGTTTACCTTTGATGCTGGTGCCAAGGTGGCTGTTTTCACTTGGCACGGCTGTTCTCTGCAGTTGAGTGGCCGGACCGAGGTGGCTTATGTCTCTAAAGACACCCCTATGTTGCTCTACCTCAACACTCATACAGCCTTGGAGCAGATGCGGAGGCAGGCAGAAAAGGAAGAAGAGAGAGGCCCCCGAGTGATGGTGGTGGGTCCTACTGATGTGGGCAAGTCCACAGTGTGTCGACTGCTACTCAACTATGCAGTGCGTTTGGGCCGCCGTCCTACTTACGTGGAGCTGGATGTGGGTCAGGGCTCTGTGTCCATCCCTGGTACCATGGGGGCCCTCTACATTGAACGGCCAGCAGATGTGGAAGAAGGTTTCTCCATCCAGGCCCCTCTTGTGTATCATTTCGGCTCCACCACTCCTGGCACCAACATCAAGCTTTATAATAAGGTCAGAGCTGGAGCTAAGACAGGGTGAAGGGAAGAGTTAAGTCAGGGTAGGAAGTAGGTAATATTGCTACTTAGAACTGCAGAATTTTGCCGGGTGGTGGTGGCACATGGCCTTTAGGCTAGAGTTTTGTACTAAGACCCTGTCTCATAAAAGCAAAAAAAAGGGGGTGGGGGAGGGGCGGACTCGGGAGTGTGTGGCTTAGGATGTAGTTCACTTGCCAAGCACATTTCAAGGCTTTTGGTTGGACTCCCAGCCCTCTAAACAGGGTAGTGCCTATTACTCTAAAGAGAAAGTTAAGTAGGTGGATTTAGGAACTGGAGAGGTGGCTCAATGATTAAAAGCATTGGCTGCCTGCCCTTCCAGAGGACCAGGGTTTAATTCTCATGGTCCAAGCACCCACATGACAGCTTACAAGTGCCTGTAACTCCAATTCCAGGGGATCTGACACCCTCACATAGACATACATGCAGGCAAAACACCAAATCATAAGATAAAAATAAATAAATAAATAACATGGGCACATTTGTCTGGTTGTTGTTGTTGTTGTTCTCATTTTGATTCTTTTTCAGATTACATCACGTTTAGCCGATGTGTTCAACCAGAGGTGTGAAGTGAATAGAAGGGCTTCTGTGAGTGGCTGTGTCATTAACACCTGTGGCTGGGTCAAGGGCTCTGGTTACCAGGCCCTGGTGCATGCAGCTTCAGCCTTTGAAGTGGATGTGGTTGTGGTGCTGGATCAAGAACGACTGTACAATGAATTGAAAAGGGACCTGCCTCATTTTGTTCGAACTGTGTTGCTCCCAAAATCAGGGGGTGTGGTGGAACGCTCCAAGGACTTCCGGCGGGAATGTAGGGATGAGCGGATCCGCGAGTACTTCTATGGATTCCGAGGCTGCTTCTATCCTCATGCCTTCAATGTCAAATTTTCGGATGTGAAAATCTACAAAGTAGGGGCACCCACCATCCCAGACTCCTGTTTACCTCTGGGCATGTCTCAGGAAGACAATCAGCTCAAGTTAGTGCCCGTCACCCCTGGCAGAGATATGGTGCACCATCTCCTGAGTGTCAGCACTGCCGAGGGGACAGAGGAAAACCTCTCTGAGACAAGTGTGGCTGGATTCATTGTGGTGACCAGTGTGGACCTGGAACACCAGGTGTTTACTGTCCTGTCTCCAGCCCCTCGCCCACTGCCTAAGAACTTCCTTCTCATCATGGATATCCGGTTCATGGATCTCAAGTAGGAATTAGCAAGGAGCCTCACTTTCTGGGCCATAGAAATCTGGCCATCACAAAGGCAGAGAAGATTTGGAAACCTTATTAAAGAGCTGACAAGGAACAACTAGTAGAAAGCACATGCTCTACCTCTTACAACAATGGAAGTAGCCAGACTCCTGTAACTCTGAACCAAAAGGAGAAACTATGAAAAGAAAATTTGATTATTTTTTTAAGATCGCCTAAGGTGCCTGCTACTTTAAATATTCCAAGACCCTGGAGAATTCCATGTCTTCCACTGTGCTACCACGAGGAGTTTTTTGTTACTACTCTCTGGTCCATGTGTAGTTCTTGTTATATAACTGAGATGAAAGTGAGATAAAGTTCAAACCTGAAAACAATTATTTTAATAAATATCATTATCATATCATAGAAATTAGTGTGATTTTTTTTTAATTTTATTTTTCCACCTAAGCATTATAGAAACTATAGGAATGATTCCTTGCTAAAATGCTCTGAGGAGGAGAAACTAAGTACCTACTTGTGAGCCAAGCATGTTTGGTGTTTATTTCGAGACAGACAGGGTATTGTTATGTAGCCTTGGCTGTCCTGTCCTGGAACTCACTCTGTAGACCAGGCTGGCTTCAAACTCACAAGATCCAGACTGCCTCTGCCTCCTGAGTGCTGGGAATAAAGGCGTGTGCCACCACGCCTGGCTGCCAATGATGTTTGGGGGTCCCCTCTTGCTTCACACTTAGACGGTAAACCTGTTTCCAGTGCTGGATGTACTCAGAGATAAGAGACTAGTGATAATCTTGGAATGATTTAAGCTCTAATTTATTAGAGATAGCCCATTGCCTTTAAAAAAAAAATATTTATGTATGAGTGCTTTGTCTTCATGTCTACATGACAGAAGAGGGCATCAGGTCATCAGATCCCATTATAGATGGTTGTGAGCCACCATGTGAGTACTGGGAATTGAACTCAAGACTTCTAGAAGAACAGTTAGTGCTCTGAGCTGTTGGGCCATCTCTCCAACCCTCTATCATTACCTTTTTGTTACAGCTATCCTTCCTGTTGTCTGTTTATCTGGAATTGGATCCCAATGTCCAAATGTACTAGAGTTTTGGGGTATTAAGCTGGGAAAGCCCATTTGGTGTTTCTAGTTTGGACTTTACTTAGTAAGTATTGAACAAATTTGCCCATTCCTTCATCCCACAATTCTTTTCTTTTTCTTTTTCTTTCTTTTTTTTTTTTTTTTTTTTTTTTTTTTTTTTTTTTTTTTTTTTTATTTATTTATTATGTATACAGAAGAGGGCACCAGATCTCATTACAGATGGTTGTTAGCCACCATGTGGTTGCTGGGAATTGAACTCAGGACTTCTGGAAGAGCAGTCAGTGCTCTTAACCTCTGAGCCATCTCTCCAGCCCCCCAACAATTCTTTTCTTTTCTTTTCTTTTCTTTCTTTCTTTCTTTCTTTCTTTCTTTCTTTCTTTCTTTCTTTCTTTCTTTCTTTCTCTCTCTCTCTCTCTCTCTCTCTCTTTCTTTTTCTTTCTTTCTTCCTTTCTTTTTCTTTTTCTTTTTCTTCTTTTTTTGGTTTCTTTGAGACAGGGTTTCTCTGTGTAGCTTTGCACCTTTCCTGGAACTCACTTGGTAGCCCAGGCTGACCTCGAACTCACAGAGATCCACCTGCCTTTGCCTCCCAAGTGCTGGGATCAAAGGCGTGCGCAACCACCGCCCGGCTTTTTTGTTTTTTTGTTTTTTTTTTTTGTTTTTTTTTTGGAGACAGGGTTTCTCTGTAGTTTTGGTGCCTGTCCTGGATCTAGCTCTGTAAACCAGGCTGGCCTTGAACTCACAGAGATCCACCTGGCTCTGCCTCCTGAGTGCTGGAATTAAAGTGTGTGCCACCACCGCCCGGCTCCTTTATCCCACAATTACTGAGCACATACTCAGCAGAAACTGTTCAAGGTGGGGAACAAAATAAAGTTTTATGAAGCTTGCAGCAAAAGAATAAAAAAGGCAAGTAATATACAGAAGCTTAAATTTAGGGATATGCGGGAGGGGCTGGAGAGATAGCTCAGCGGTTAAGAGCACTGGCTGCTCTCCCAGAGGTTCTGAGTTCAATTCCCAGCACCCACATGGTGGCCCACAGCCATCTGTAGTGAAATCTGATGCCATCTTCTGGTGAGCAGTATACATAATAAATAAATAAATCTTTTTTAAAAAAATTGGGGGATATGGGAGGGAGGTGTGGGGGTCCTCAAAGGTTTTCTAGTTAGATCTGAGCTTGCTTTACACAGCAGGGCTGCATTAGGGGATGGCTGGACCACCTGCATGGTCCTAGGTGTCTGGGATGGTCTGCACTTGCTATGCTGAGGGGAGGTCTTTTGCCTCATCCCTTGGCATTCCTTTAAAAAGCCCTTAGTAGCGACAGAAGGGGCTGGTGGGTTGAGACCCAGGCCCTCCTGAGGTTGTTCTGTATTTTCTGTCTGTCTGTCTCCTCTATACTTCTATCTACAAATTCCTCATTTCTCCCTGCTCAAGAGAACCCTGGGGGAATAAGAGCTGGTCTCCCTCAGGGAGGGCCCTTGCTGAAAGTACATCTCCAGTAAGACCTGGAAAAGTTAAACAGTACTCGTAGAAAAGCTTCCCAGTAGAGGAAACACAAAATCCTAGAAAAGCCAGCTTTGAGTTTAATGGAGGAAAAAGCACTGTAGTTGGGTGTAATGAACCAGAGCAAAGTAAAGGTGAGGCAGGAGGGAGCTGGAGCCATCAGAGAAAGCATGGTGTTGATAAATCAGAGTCAAGCAGAGTTTATCCACAGCAGTGGGAGAGATCACAGGACTAGGGTCATTAAGCAGAGAATGGCACGATGCACTTTACGTGTGACAGATTTCCTTCTGGCATCTTCGTATTTAGTTTTGGGTGCTTTTCCTACTGGTCTCCCCTCCTTACCTGTCCTCTGTCCCTATGTACCCATCTCCCTCCAGGACCCGCCCACCCCTTACACACACACACACACACACACACACACACACACACACACACACACACACGTTTAGTTAACCCATGAAATGAAAAGATCATTGCTGTGTGGAGACCTGGTTAGAGGGCAAGCCTCTGGAGAAGCTGGGGACAAATGGGACATTTTTGTGTCGGTATCAAGGTGTGAATTGGTGGAGGACAGGATGAGGGCTGCAGAGACAGGGCTGGGGAGTGCTGCCATCCGTGCTTGGGATCTTTTGAAAATAACATGGATAGGACTTGCTGGTGAAAGTGATGAGGAAAGGAAAATGGAATCAAGGATGATTATGGGGAGAGAGAGAGTGTGTGTGTGTGTGTGTACTTTAAATTTTATGTGTATGAGTATTTTGCCTGTGTGTATGTATGCACCACCTGCATGCATGGTGACTGGGGATGTCAGAAGGTCAGATCCCTGGAGCTGGAGTTTAGCCTTCGAGTTGCTTTGTGGGTGCTGGGAACCAAATCCTATCCTTTGAAAAAGTAACACGTGTTCTTTTTCTTTTTCTGGTTTTTTTGAGATGAGGTTTCTCTGTGTAGCCCTGGCTGTTCTGGAACCTGCTGTGTTAACCAGACTGACCTTGAACTCAGAGATCTGCCTGCCTCTGCTTCCCAAGTGCTGGGATTAAAGGCATCCATCACCATACCTGGCCTATTTTTATTTTTATTATTATTATTATTATTATTATTATTATTATTATTGCTGAATAAGTGCTCTTGACTGCTGAGTGGTGTTTGTGTGTGTGTGTGTGTGTGTGTGTGTGTGTGTGTGCACTTTTGAGACAGGGATTACTCTCAGACTCAGTGTGTAGCCTGCTGTCATCCTCCACAATACAAGTGCTGGAGTTGCTGGAGTTGCTACATGTGCCACCATACCTGGCTTATATAATTTTTAAAAAAATTTATATTTTTATATATGAGTGCTCTGTAAATATACCTGCATGCCAGAAGAGGGCATCAGATCCTATTATAGATGGCTGTGAGCTACCATGTGGGTGTTGAAAATTGAACTCAGAACCTCTGAAAGAGCAGCCAGTGCTCTTAACTGCTGAGCCATCTCTTCAGCCCCATAAATTTTTTTTTAAAGATTTATTTTATTTATTATGTATACAGCATGTATGACTGCAGGCCAGAAGAGAGCACCAGATCTCATTACAGATGGTTGTGAACCACCATGTGGTTGCTGGGAATTGAACTCAGGACCTCTGGAAGAGCAGCCAGTGCTCTTAACCTCTGAGCCACCTCTCCAGCCCTAAATTTTTTTTAGTTAAAAAAAAACATTTTTAATGATTTATTTGTTCTTATTTTATGTGCTTTGGTGTATTGCCTGAATGTATGTCTGTGTGAGGGTGTCAGATTCCCCTGGAACTGGAGTTACAGACAGTTGTGAGCTGCCATGTGGGTGCTAGGAATTGAACCCGGGTCCTCTGGAAGAGCAGCCAGAGTTCTTAACTGCTGATTCATCTCTCCAGCTCCTTAAATTTTTGTTATTTTTTTGTGTGTGTGCGTGGGGGGGGGCATCTATGTGCATGGTATATGTTTGTGGGATACTTGCCACAGCACATGTGGAGGTCAGAGGACAACCTAGGAAGTGGTGCCAATCCTCTCTACCTTTATGTGGGTTTGGGAGATGGAATTCAGGTCACCAGGCTTGAGGAGCCAAGCACCTTTGTTTACCCACCAACTTGAGCTATCTCACCAGCTACTGGACAAGGTCTCACTGTGTAGCCCAAGCTGGTCTCCAACTTGAGATTCTCCTACCTTAGCCCTCCTAAGTGCTAGGATTCCAGGTGCGGGGAAACTACAGGAGGGAGTAAGAGACTAGCAAGTGAGTTTTGGCATTGTTGAAGTCTGAGCTATTATTCATCCATCTGAAGGTGCAGCCTAGACAGCATCTGGAGTCTTAGAAAAGGTTAGGGCTGAAAGTTCATGACAGCCACTGACCTTTAAATATAGATGTTGTTTCATCTTCAGCACAGTGGCTGTGCCTCAGTCTACTGCTATTTCAGCCAACAATTGTGACTCGAAGTTACTGGCCTGTTTCTCTGGCAGCGGCCAGCCACTCAGGCCGAAGCTTGGTGGGAATTCTGTTCCCAAAGGCACCTGCTCTGTCACTGCTACTAAAGCTTTAATAAATCTCTATCATTCTATTTATAAATTAGACTTGGGATTCAAAGGCTGGGGTGAAAACCTGCTAGCTCAGAGAGGTTGAGTAGCAACTAGCTAACCTTCTCATCTTGCTGACGTCTTCCAAAAAGCCTGTCCTTCCACTCCACCAAAACAAAAAAAAGCCGCACCACTCAAAATCTTTCCCTATTTCTTCTGGCCTCTCTCTCTCTCTCTCTCTCTCTCTCTCTCTCTCTCTCTCTCTCTCTTTATTTATTTATTTATTTTTTTGAGACAGGGTTTC